AAACTCAGCCCGCAGAGAAAGAGCAGAGGTTCATTTCACATCCAACACCTAAATAAATACCACATCCACACTCTGCAGTGTGTCCCATAGCGGTGTGCATTGCACACAGCCACGGCACAGGAGCTGAGGGAGCAGCTCCAATATCCCCCACTGCAATATCCTGTCCCCAAGAGCGGCTGCACCAGGTGCTCCAGAGGGCCTTAGGAGCCCTTGGCAGTCAAACACAACCCGTTCTGCCCCCAGCATTGACTTAGTCTCCAGTGGGTTGGGGACCTTCCTGGAGACCTCCCAGGTACGGACATCCCATCCTTCCACTGACCTGACAGCCGGGTGTGTGGGGATGGAGCAACGCGCTTCAAGGACCAGTGGAGCAGGATGCGGCTCTGCTGCTGCAGAGCGAGGTGGTGAGCTGGGCTCCAGCCCTGCTCTTGGGTGTAAAGGATACAGATGTTAAACTGATGCCACTTTTGATCTCAGCCAAAAAAAAACAAGAGGGTTGAAAACCTCCATCCCAAACTGTAAGCAAAGCTGGTTCCTGCTTAATCCCAATGACTCCACTTCCCCCCCCCCATCAAGAGGGGCAGCCATGCAATGGTGAAGGTTCCTTCCTCCATGGGACCTACCCAGAGCAGGGATCACAAGGTTGCAAGAAATTCCCTCTTTAAAGGGTGCTGCTGGGAATGCTGCTCACACCGGGCTGGGTTCAATGGGACTGCTCTGGACTCGGAGCAAGACTTAGCCCCACACTCCTCCCACTTCAAGATGAGCATCTTTAACCTGAGCGTGTCAGGGCTGTTGGTGTCACTGTAAGACCAGGAACACACAAAGTCATGAGGGATCAATGGAACTTAAATCCTCAAACTCCACAAGACCTTTTCAGATGCAGCAATGGGGACAAGGATAAATTAAGCATCTCCAGCATGGTATCAAGTGAACAAATAGCAGAGAAGAGCTGCCCTGATGGAGCAGAGCAAGGCGCTTCCCTTCTCAGGGATGTCTGCTAGGAACAGCCTGAAACATTTCCATGTCCTTGCCTTTTGCTAGCAAGGTCAGCTCTGCTCTCCCCACCCCAAAATCCTCCATCAGGGCCTCTTCTGGGAACTCGCAGCCACGCACCAGATGTCACAGAGACAGAAAAACAACCAGGGGCCAGGCCAGGGCAGTTCTCCCCTACCCAGAAGCCCAAAGCATGGGGCAGCCAGGCAGGGGAAGGAGAGCACAGCACCCCCCAGTCCCTGGGGTTGGATGCAGGAGCCCCTTCATCCTGGAGCAGCCACCCTGCCCCTGCAGGCAACCCCACAGCTCCAGACATCCCCCAGCAGCAGCCATCCACTGGGAATCAACACTGGCAACGCAAAGGGGAATTGGGTCCCCCCCTATATTCACTGCTTGGTTTGAGCAGTGCTCAGTGATAGCAAAGCTCTGCGGGGTCCCCAGCAGCACCCCAGTGGACACCAGCACACAAACACCCCACTCGCTGCAGGATAGGGACCCTCACGGGGCACTCCATAGCCCCCATGCTGCCAGCACCAGGGCAGCTCAGCCCCTGCCAACCCCCAGCAAGTTTCACAAGAAAGAGCTATGAGAGAAGAGCAGCACCGCTACCCAAGAGGGTGCTGGCACCAGACACCCCTGGTTTAGCTGGAGAGCACAGTTACTCACAGATTTCTAGAGGCTTTCTTTCTCAGGGCTGCAGACCTCAGACCTGCAAACACTGCATCAGCTGCTGCCTGGGATGGAAAGATGAAGTAGAGAAGAAGAGAAACCACAAGACTTGAAAAAGAAATCCACTTGCATTTGGTGATGCTCTGAACTCCTCCTTCAAGCTTCCGACCACCTTCTCTGCAGCACAAATCCTGAGACTAGAAAAAAGAATTAAAAACAGAAGAGAGAGGAGACCTCCATATCCCAGGATCACTGGCTTCAAATCAGAAAGCTTTTCATTAGCCCCCAAATGCAGTCATCTCCCCTTCCTTGAGCAGAAGGAAGCAGAGCCTGAAGGGAAGGTGCAGGTGTGGGCTTTTATGGATACTCATGTTCTCCAGGTGAGGCAGTTCCTTGGTGGGGAATCCACCCTGATAACAACCCCCCACCCACCCAGCCACCCCCCGGGTCTGCTGCCTGCTCTGGAGGTGGGCATGGCTCTGGTCACTGCATCACCAACCTGCAAACAGCTCCTAAAAACACCTTCCACCCACCCCAGGCTGCTCCAGCAGCGTGGCCAGAGCCACTGGGATACCCCTGCGAGCTCCCAGGCGATGGAGGCTTGGGAAAAGAAGGAAAACATTAATCTGCAGTCCTGCCCCCCATGAGCTTCTCCATGTTTGTGAACGTTCCCAGAGCCTCACATTAATAGGGGCTGGGATAAACATCACATCGTGGCAGGTACCCGTGGACATACCCACTGGTGTGGGTGGCCACACGTACACATCCTCTCCTCCATATTCAAGGTTTTCAGGAGTAACCTTGGGAAAAGAGTAAGCTGTAGCTCTTCTTGTCCCGGCAGATAACGTTTGTCACCATTCAGCCTGCCTGCAGGGTTCGTTTTATTGGGTTTCCAGCAAGCCCCAGCTGAATTACACCAACTCCTTCATAAAGGGAGAAAAGTGACTTGACTTCTGCTCTCCACACCACACTACACATCCTGGCCTGGGTGGGTCCAACACTATTGCAAGGGTGCAATAGCTGCATCTAGAGCCCTGGAAGGTTTTGAGCACCTCTGTTGAGACACACTAACCATGGAACAGTTTGGGTTGGAAGGGAGCTTTAAAGCTCCTCCAGCTCCAGCCCCTGCCACGGGCAGGGACACCTTCCACTAGAGCAGGGTGCTGCAAGCCCCTGTGTCCAACCTGGCCTTGAGCACTGCCAGGGATTAGGTAAATGAATGAACACCGGTGCTTGACTGTGGCTGGACCGAGATGTGGCTCGGACAGTGAGTGCGAACCAGTGGAGCTCGGGTCCGTCCTTGGGAAGCTGAGCGGGGCCGCCCCATCGCTGCGCACCGCGGGGAGCGGGCGGGAGGTGCTGCGGAAGGGGGGGCTCTGGCATCCCCGGTACTGTCCCGGGTCTTGTCCCGGGTCCGCCGGGCCCCGGCGCTGCCTCACCCGCCGTTACCAGAAGGTGCCGCCGTCCGCCTGCAAATTGCTCCCAGCCCAATTAGGAGGCGGGTATCGGCCGCAATCACGGCTGCTGATAGAGATAAATGGGGACGGCGCGATCAGGCCGGCGATGGGCGGGGGGTGAGGGGGGGTTAAGGGAGGGGAAAAAAAAGGGAGGAAAAAAAAAAAAAACAATTGAACTTTTCATCAGCTGCTAATCATGATTTTTTTTTATTGCTTTGCTGAGCATTTTCTGGGGAATAAAACCTCGGAGGAGCCCGGGCTTTTGTGGAAAATGAAAGGGCATATAAAAAAATGAATGTACATGGATTCTAAATATTTCAGGTTGTATGACTTTGTGTTTGACCTTAGCAGAAGATGAACTAATCCTGCAATATAATAGACTTTCATAGAGATATGGAAAATGGCTGCTTTTTTATCTGGGTTACCATGGGAACCATCAGAGAGAAGGCCTAGCTGAGATGCAATAGAAGGTTATTAAATGTGTGCTTGTGTATATTGGAAAAATACAGCTTTTTGTCATCTTGTGTCACTCATAGGTCTTTAATACGTAATGTTTAGGTTATTAATAAACTAACACAGGTCTGTTTTTTACAGGGAACAACTGTGAATACAGCCATAAAAAATTAGCACAAGTTGAACATTCACAAAGCTCCGGAGCACGGGCAGGGCTGGGCCCTTCTCACCACCAACTTCCACCCGAGTTCCCCTCCCTTTGCAGGCCGGGAAGGGCCGACCGTTGCTGGGCAGGCAGAGGGGCTGGGACACGGTTGGGGGTCCTGTCCCCAACCCGGGATCTCACCACCCCCTGGGCTGGGGACACAGGAGTGGCCTGTGGTGGCACATAGCAAAATGCTGCCTTGTTTGGTACCTCGGCACAAGCTGAGGTGCTGCTGGGGAGAGCAGGGTGGGTGAGAGTGGAGGGGACGTTCACTCCTTGTGCTGGGCCAGGGATCTGTTGCTCTGGACCAGGTGTGCATGGCCGGGCTGGGAGCGTTCACTGATACATAGAGGGTTTTTCTGGGAAAATAATAACAATAACATCAGGAAAGATACCAAGGAACCAGAAAAGTGGGAGGGAAGAGAAAAGAAAAAGAGAGAACAGGGAAAGAGGGGAAGAAGGAGAGAAAGAAAGAAGGAAAGAGGGAAAGAAGGAGAGAAGGAAAGGAAATAAAAGAAAGAGGAACACAGATGCCCTGTTCTGCCTGCAGCTGGGATGTGGGGTTCACCCAGCACCCACGGGGCGGCTGGAAGCTGCCCCAGCCCCGGGGGACCCAGGGACTGTCTGCGCTGACAGGATTCTGGGTGGAACAGCCTGGGAGGTTTAACCAGCTGGACCTTGAGGGTGCCGAGGGCTCGGGCTGGACCAGGGTACCGCTGAGCCTAAGAGCGGCTTTAGGGAACTCGGCGCCCCTGGAGCAGCTCCCGGGTGCGGGTGAATGCGACTGTGAGTGCAAAGTGAACATAAGCACAAGCGGATGCCCAAGACGATGCTCTCCCTCTTCCCTTCTCCCTGTAAATTCACCAGCTCCACAGCGGAGCAACCCCGAATCCCCATTGCACGGCAGCATCTCGCAAGCCGCGGTGCTGTACCACCCTGCCCTGGCTCGGGGACAGCCAGGGGACCCTCTCCTCACTCCACCACGTCCACAGCAAAATCCGTTTGTGCCGAGAGCCTCTGGGGTGTCCCGGGTCCGGCCGGGGGCACCGCCTGCAGAGCAGCCCCGCGTCCATGCATACTAAGCAAAGCAAGGAATACATAGATTTTGCCTATCTGCCGATCAAACGCGGAGATCTGCTCTGGTAAATGATGCATTAGATGCGGTGGCTGTATTTGTTGTGTGAGTTTTGAAAGGGTTCCGATAATCTGGAGGCGAGAGATAAGGAACACCATTTATTCAGCAGCACTTTGGAACCAATTTTCAACCCTGTTCAACCCCATTCTCCAGCAGCCTCCAGGAGCCCAGGAGATAAGGATTGGGCTATTCATTATCTTCACAAGGAACAAAGATTAGCTAGCAGAGATGAAAAATTACCCCTGGATAGTAATAATAAGGAAGCGAACCTGGAGAGCTGCTGAGCCTATATTCTCCTTGCTGCTGGTGCTGCTTCTTCTCTTTTTAAATTTTCTCCTTTTTTTTTTTTTTTAATCAATATTGAAAAGGTTGGGGATTTTTTCTTTTTTAATTTTTTTTTTCTCCTTATTTTTTTTCGGGGGGTTTCAGCCTTTCCCACTGTCTGTTGTATTGTTCGATATGCAGAATATGGTTGTTACCGTGGAAGAAGCAGAGCACGGTCCCCGCTCCTTCCCAGACTTTCAGATGACATCTTTAGTAGGAAACCTAAAGAGCAGAGGAAAACATCCTTCTCTTCCAGCGGGAAAGAAGAGCAAATCGCACCCGTGCCCCTCCGGCCCCCAATGCCGTTGGTGGCACTCGGTGGATGGCCCTGGCCCGGGGCAACCCGGGACAGCGGGGTCCCGCGCTCCGCCGGTCTCAGCCCCTCCCCGAGCCCCGGAGCGGCCGCCCTCGTTTGTCCCCGCGCGGGGAGCAATCTGCAGGATTCAAACCCCGCTTTTGCCGTAGTTTTCCCGCCCGAGCGACGATCCCTCGGTTTAGAGTCGTTCCGTGCAGGGGCGATCCCAGGGCGCGGCTGGCAGCAGCGTCTCCCTCTTCCTGGGCACAAGGGAAAGACAGGGGGATATATATATATGTATATGTGTATTTATTTTAATACCGCGTTCTTTTGTATTCCCCCCCTCCCCGCATAAATCTGGTGATGCATCTCCTCTCAGAGGATGAAGGGTAATACAGGAGAAGTAATTAAAACACTTACTTTGGAAATGGGCTGCGTGGGGCTGATAAGAATTATCTGCCGCATATCAAGGACCCTTTTTCCCCCAACCATATCACAAAGACAGACAGAAAATGCCAGCAGAATGGGATCCCCCCCCACCCCACCCCGCCTTTCCCCTGCTCACATTTTTACCTCCATTATGATGATAATTCCGCCTCCCGCGAAACTTTTCTCCTTCCCTTCCCGAACCGTATTTCGATTCCCCGCTCCCGCAGGACTCCCGCCGGACGGTCCGGCCTTTGTCTCCCCATTAACACGGTTTCCCCGCAGCTCCGGGCAGGGGGTCCCGTCCGCTCTCCCCCGGAGATTCATGTTGAGCCCCTCTGCCGACCCCGGGGCCCGCCACCCCACCCCGACACCGGGCGCTTGGCGAGGGGACCCCCCAACCCAGACCCGCACACACACACGCACCGGGAGCAAAATACCCGTCAGGTGAGGACTGCAGAGCCGGGGCTGGGGAGCGCAAACGTTTCCAAACCCATTCGTTTTGGCTGGTTCTCCTATGTGTGTTTTACCGTTACCTTCCTAGCTACAACAACGATTCCTGGAGAAATAGCTGCTTGCGCCTCTTTCAGCTTCTCCGCTGCTTCTCCTACTTGCAGGTGCATAGCCCGAAAGACTGAGTTTGGGAAGGGAGAGCGGGGAGAAGAAACACGAGGTTATACGAAAACCAGGCTGGCCAATACGAAAAAGGAAAAGTATAAACCGAGAAACCCCCAAACATTCCCCTCGCACGGGAGTGGAAACAAAATTAATACGAATAGGAATAATTTATACGAATAATTGATCCTGCAAAGCGGGTCCCCCCAACCCCACCTTCCTTGGAGGCGGTGGAAAAAGCGAGCGGCTCGGGAGCCAGCCGGAGCCGGATTCCCAGTGCCTGGAACGCGAGTGTGTGTTGTTGGTATAATATCAATTCATTTAAAATATGAAAGTCAAGTCGCGTAGACTGTGACAGCAACCGTAACAAAAGGTGCAAGCAACAGACAATGTGATGTGCTTGTACAGATATTGTAATGATGCAAATGAAGTGGAGGGGACGAGCTGCCTTATTATGTACATAAATACACAGTGGCTCGCTGTGCCATCCTTGAATGCAGGAGAGAGAGAGGGAAGGGGAGGGAAAGAAGGGAGAGAGGGAAAGAGAGGGAGGGAGGGAAGGAGGGAGGGAGGAAGGGAAGGGGGGGAAGGAAAAAAGGAACAAGGGCTCAGCTCGAAAACTGCAGCCGCGCTCCGCAGCGCGCACCTCGGGCAGCCCCGCGCAGCCTGCGCGCACCGTCCGCCGCCGAGAACCGGCGCAGGCGGGCGGGAAGCTCCGCGGAGCGGCCCCGCGGGAGAGCGGATCCGGCGCTTTCCAGGCACCGGCCGGAAAACTGAAAGAAACCTGAAGAACAGCGAAAGGCGAGGTAAGGGGATGCGGCTGCGCGGCCCCAGGGCTGCCGTACCGGCGCCGCCGCCGCGCACCGGGATGCGGGTCTCGCCTCTGGAACACATCGCTCGGGGCAGTTTTCCCCGGGGACAAACAGGGCACGGTTGTGTGAAGAACGAATAAATGTCCCCAGCCCGTACGGTCCCTCCCGGCAGCCTCGGCCGGGCCCGGCTGAGCCCGGTGCAGCGCTCGGAGACTCCGCGGGGGCTCTACCGGGCGCACCGGATCGCTCCTGCACGGGCACCCTGCGGGGAGCGGGGCCGCGTCTGAGGCTGGTTGGGTTTTATTCCCTTCCCCATTGTCACCGGGTAATTATTTAAATCTCCATCTTGGAAAGTTGCATTTCACCCGGGGCGGCCGGGCAGGCACTTCCCGGAGCACGGCCGTGCAGAGCCCGCGCCCCCTCCCGCAGCCGCGGCCCGTCCCCTCGCCCCATTGTTGGCAGATTTGGGCATTAAAAAAGCAAAAGAAAGAAAACCGGAGGGAGATGCGGGTTCGCTGTGCCGGCCCTGCACCTGCCCGCCGCAGCCCGCCAGTCCCAGTCCCGTGCGGCAGCTTTACGGGGCTTTGCATGATTTTTGCTGTTGTATGTGCAAAGTTCCCCTCTTTATCCTCTTTTTGCTTTGGGATGCTGGGGCTGGAAGGCAAGGAGGGGCGGGGGGGGGGGGGGGAAAGAAAAAAATAAATAGAAGCACCCAGGAGCAGAGCTGCCTGGATTTGAGGCGATTTCAATAAGAAAAGCTGTTTCTCTAAGCGGGATGCGCGTTTCTGTCGCGGGGGTTCTTCTCCCCTGGAGCATCGTTATTAAAAGTAATTAGTTAATACAGTTTTTACCCTCGGAAGTCCCATGCCGCCCTGGTCCGTGCCCCGCGGCTTACAGGGGGAACGCAGCCGAGACCGGTACCGCGGGCGAGACGAGCACCGCTGCCCGTTTCGGGCTCCGTCCCTCCCCAGCGGAGTTTTGCTTGCGAGGAAGCAAATGAAACCTGCAGGAACGGCCCCTTTCCTGCACCAGCTGAGCCCGAAATAACCTTGCAAGGGAAGAAAAAATACACATAAAATTAAACCGAGCTCCGGCGAACGAAATCTTCCCTGGTAGCGCCTGAAAATAAATGGTGATAGGTTTCTCTGGCTGTGCAGCTCCTCACGCCTCCCGCACGCGTTTGGCTTTGGGAGGTCGCACAAAAGCCGTCGTTTTGGGCAGGCGGGGGTCACTCGAGCATTTTCTTCCCCTTTATTTGCTGTCGGGGGAAGAGGGGGACGAACTTCGGACAAAGAGCAGGTGAAGGAGAGATGGGGCGGATAGGACAGCAGCAACTGGCTGCGGGATGGGGGAAACGAGAGGCTCCTCCGGGGTTAAAAAATAACAATAATTTAAGTATTCCATGATTTATTTCCAGAGCCGTCTCTCTTTTCTTTTTATTTCCCTTGTTCCTTATTTTCCTTCCCTTTCTTTTCCTTTCCTTTTAATTTCCCTTTTCTTTAATTTTCCCTTCCTTTTCTTTTCCCTTTAACGCAGCTCAAACAGGGTCTCGCGGTTAGGAGGTAACTGTGTCACTTTATAGCCCCATTAGCAGCCATTAGCTGGGAGGGGGGGCCGGGGGAGAAGCAAAGCGAAGCGGAGACAAGACCAGAGGGAGGAAAACACCGAAATAAAACAACCAGGCAGAAAGCCAGAACTTCCCCTCCCCAAAACATTGTACCCAAGGACACACACCAGAGAAGGGGGTGTCTGGAGGGAAGTGTCGCTGGGGGTGAGGTTCCAGCCCAGCCACTCCCGGCTGCGAGGGTCCGAGCACCCAGAATAGGGAAAAAAAAGGAAATCAAAAGGAATAAACCCAATTCCGTGTGCGTGGATAGGGAAAGAGGGGTTCTGCCTTCGCCTCTGCCCCGGCGTAGGTGTCAACTCCATCACACAGGGCTTCTAACTGTTGCTAAAACACGTTGTCGTCTCCCCCCTCTCCCTTAACGATATGACATCACTTGTCAATCAAATCAAAATAACCAGTTGTGCTTCCAGAGCTGGGAAAGCTCCTGATTAAAACCGAAAAAAAAAAAAAGAAATGCAACGGGAATAACAAAATGAAGTTAATAAACCGGAGTTAATGCCCGGACCCGCTGCCTCCCCAGAGGGTTGTGGGGGAGCTGCTCACCGGGACGCGGGTGCAGAGCTGCTGCTGCTGCTTCTCCCGACGGGGAATTAATTCAATTAACCGCCAGCCCTGCCGCCGGGGCATTAGCGGCCGAGTCCGCAGCGGCGGCCGGGTCGGCAAACGCTGGCAGCGAGGCCGGGAAGCGGCGGCGATAGAAACAGCGAAATAAACTCAAGTGAAACCCTGGGAGGCGGCTGGAGGAAAACCTCCCGCGGGAATTCAGCCGCTTCCTCAGCTGAAATCGTCCATCCCTGATAAAGGGGTCCTTCAGTTACAGAGGGATTTAGAGGCGGGGGGAGGGTGCGAGGAAAGGCGCCGGACCCCGGCTCGGGAATGGCGGGACCCGACCCCAGGAGCTGCCGCCTCCGTCTCTGGTTCGCCCCTTTTGTTTCGCTTCGCCCCCCGGTAACCCGAGACAGGGGCTTCAGGGAGCCCCGGCCGGGCAGCGCCGGGGTCTGCCTCGCCATAAATCAAACCGCCTGATTAATCTTTACAATTTGTCTTTTAAAACAAACACGAACGAATTATCAGCTCGTTAACTGCGATTTTATCACCTGCCTAAAACAAACAGCCCACCCCGCTCGCCCCCCCCAAGAAAAAACCTAGCGCGGCCCCATGCTGGTGGCAGCGGGCAGTAATTAAACAGCCATATTGATTAATAAAGGCGCAGCTAGGCGCTGGGCCCGCTCCGGCCGGGCCCGGGATGATCCCGGCTGCTCCGGGAGGGATCGCGGGCACGGAGCGCCCCGGCTCCGGCAGCCCCCGGGCTGCGGGGATAACGAGACGCCGAGGGGACCGACCTGCAACCGGCCGCGTTCAGTTTATACTCACCCTTCCTTCGGAAAATAAAAAAGAATAAATTCCTTTGGGGGGGATATTTGAGTGGATTTGTGGGGGTTTTGATGCGTGCAGAAAGAAAATCGCTTCGGAGGTCGAAGCCGGGTTTTTCGAAAGCTCCCAGGTTCTCTCGCTTTTGACTTTCCTTTTTCTTTCTTTTTTAATTGCTTTGTTTCCCTTTCCTCCTTGGCACCTCCGGCCCTGGGCGCCCGGGCACCCCAAGGCCCGGCCCCGCTTCCCCGCCCAGCCCCAGCGCTGGCCCCGGCCTGCCCCGACCACCCAGCCCGGCCGGAGAGAAGCCGGCTCCGCCGTCCCTGCTGCGGCCGGCAGCCAAGCGAGGAGCTGCCGCCCGGATCAGCTGCTTGGCATCCCCCCAGCGGAGGGGGGCGAGGGGCACGGCCAAGCCCCGAAAGCAGGGCCTTGGGGAGTCCTGGCTTCGGGTGCAAGAGGAAAGGATGCGGGGAGAGGGGGAGCAAAGCCGGCTCCCCCAGCCCCAGCCTCCGTAGAAGCCATCCCGGGCCGCGTTGCCTGTTCTCCTCTCCGGGTCTGCGCTGGGGGTGCCCCTGGGGGATGCTTGGAGGGAACAAGGGGTGATGGTGGTGAGGGAATAGCTATGGAGGGAGCCCGAATCGCTCCGGTGAGACGGGATCGGCAGCGAGGAAAAGGAGTTTTATTATTACCGTCATCATCATTATTATTATTGTTATTATTAAAAAGAAAAAAAAAGTTCATTTCCTGGCGAATTTGGCAGTGACGGGTGACGTCAGAGCCCCGGCGTCGTGGTGACTGGGGCGGCCGGGGCAGCACCGGCACCATCTTCCTCGTCCTCCGGCCCCCCCCGCTGGGCCCCGGCCCGGCCCCGACCGGCTCCCGAGCCCCCTCCCCGGCCGCGCCGTCGGGCTGGAGCCGCTGCCGAGGGGGCGGCGGGCCGTGTTCGGCTCCCCCCTGCCCTCTCCCGGGTGAGGGGCAGCTCCTTCGCCCCGGGTCCAGGTCGGAGCTTTACGGGATCGGGACGAGCTGTTCCTATTTCCCGCGAAAGCGACGACGGAGGCGCGGGAGGGCAGTGCAGGGGAACGGGACCCCCACAGCGCCCGGCAGCGCTCCGGGGCGCGGGCAATCTCTGGCTTTCTCACTGTTATTAGTATTAATAATATCATTTTCTGCCCCAAAAGCGGGTGGCTTTGTCCGCACCTTCGAGGGTGGCAGAACCCGAGCTGCGCCGCGAACTCCGCGGAAAACGCCTGTTGAAGCGGGCTGCGCCTCTGCCCTCGCTCACGAGTAACTGCGAGTGTTAAAATTGAATCTTTGGAGGGTTCTGTTGGTGGTTTGGTTGTGGGGTTTTTCAATTTTATTTTAAGGGGAGAAGCAGAACACGCGGGGTGTTGGCGCCGCAGCCCCGTCGGGGAGGCCGCAGCAGGTCCCCGGCCCCCCTCGGCTCGGCTCCCCGCTGCCGCAGCCTCCAGCGAGCCCCAGCCAGGCCCGACCCCAGCACTGCCTCCCCGGGAGCCGGGCAGGACCCGTCCCTTATCCGCCGCCTGCCCGGCGGGGCCCCGCTCCCTCTTCTCAGCCTGCCGGGCTCTGAGGAGCAGCGCAATTATTCGGTTATTTCCCCGTTCAGACAGTTATTTCAAACTAACACGATGGGAACAGCCACGCTGGGGTTAGCCCCGCTCCCGGCTGCGCGCTGCTGTGCCTGCTTTAAGGGAATTTTAACGTACTCATCTCCCCGGTGCTGACTTCCACCCCCCTCGCCCCGGGCATCCCGGCGGCGGCGCTGGAAGCCACGGTCGGGGGCAGCACCCGGCGGAGCTGGCCCTATTGCCCGCTCCGGTCCCCCCGCACCAAAGCGTGGGCCCATGCCCCTCCGCATCCCCGCACACCCCAGCGGGACCCCCCCCCCATTTCTCCGTCCCCGCCCCGCAGGGGCGTGCAGCGCCCAGGCAGGGAAAGCCCCCTCGGCGCTGCCGGAGGATGCTGCGGGGGGGCAGGAGGCGGAGGAGGGGGGTCCGCGCTGCTCCCCCCCTCCCCAGGCCGGCTCCGTTCGGGCCGGGGGTGCGGCTGGGGGCGGTGTGGGGCGGCGGGATCTGCGGGATCGGCTGCCGGGATTGGCTGTCCCGGCCGCCCCGCCGGCCCTGCGCGCCCCGGACCGTCTGCGGCGCCGCGGCCAGCTGGCGCCAGCGCTCATATAGGATGCGCGGGGATGGGACCGCGCCGGCCAGAGCAGCGGCTTTGCCATCTGAGTAACACCCTGCAGCTCCGATCCCCCCGCACTCGGGGCTTCTCTTATTTTTAATTCCCTCCCCATTTCCCCCCCTCCTTCCTCCCCTCTCCGCCGTATTCGCGGTCTCCACGCCGGCTCCCACCGCCAGCCGGTAAGTGCGGGGTGCGGGGGGGGCCGCTGCCAGGGCGCACTCGCTGCTTTCACTAAACACCCTTCTCCTCCCTCCTCTTCGCCTTCTCCCCCCTTCTTTCTCCCCCTCCTTTTCCTTTTGTGTCAGTCCCAGTTCTTGCTGGCACTACTCTGTATTGGATCTGCCGTTCTTCCTTTTTCACCCCGCTTTTGAAGCCAGCTGGGAAAACTCCTGTTGACGTTTGTAGGGAGAGCGGGGAGCGGGGGGAAAGGAAGCTTTTTGCTTTTTCTGTTTTTTTTTTTTTTTTTTTTTTGGTAAAGAGTTTGAAATGGGATCTCTGTTTATTCTGTGGGGCAACGAGCAGGGAGGGAGCAAGGAGAAGACTTTGGGGGAGAGGACATTTTTGGAAGGGGGGGAGGGGCTCTGCTTCTCCCTCCCCATCCATGTACCGCCCGGTACAGCGCTCCCGAGCCCCTCACCCCTCCGTCTGTCCCTACAGGTGCTGCCCGGACCTGCCGCCGCCCGCCTGGACAGAGAGACACGGTGACTCCGGGGGGCTCCCCCAACCCTTCCCAGGGCCCACGCCAGCCGCCCGGCCATCTTCTCCTTAAGAAAAGCCACCCCATCTCCTAAATCCCACCAGCAGCGCCAACCCCAACCCCCCCGCCCCCCCTCCCCGAGCAGCACCGGCCCGCTCCTGCTCTGGGGCTGGGTGGGAGGGGAGGCCCGAGGCCATGGAGGTGGCCACAGACCAGCCTCGCTGGATGGCCCACCACGCCGTGCTCAACGGGCAGCATCCCGAGAGCCACCACCCAGGACTGGCTCACAATTACATGGAACCAGCGCAGCTCCTACCTCCGGATGAAGTCGATGTCTTCTTCAACCACCTGGACTCCCAAGGCAATCCCTACTACGCCAATTCCGCCCATGCCAGGGCCAGGGTCTCCTACAGCCAGGCACACGGTAAACCGGCACCCGCGGCCCGGGCTGAAGGCGAGCAGTGACGACTGGGGGGGACCCTCCACTGTTTCCGAGCAGGGGGGGGAAGGAGACCTGAGAAAACAGGATAGAAAGGGAGGCACGTCTGGATTTTAACCCTAGAGATAACCGAGGACTGGCAGAGGGGAGGGAAAGAAAGGGGGGAGGTTAGAAAGGAAGGGGAAATAGTGTGTGCACAGGCTAAAACTTCTCAGACGCGGATACTTCCCGGATGCAAAATACAAACCGGTTCAAATCGGCGATGGGTTTTATTTGGGGGTGGTTTTAGGAGCCGAAGAGAGCGCGTTGCAGCAGCTCGGAAGATGGAGCAGAAAGGGGTTTGCTGCTTATCCCCGGGCGGGGTGGAGTGGGAGGAAAGGGGAGATTTAACCCCTGCCCCGGGTGCCTGATGCCCTCCTGTGCCCACCGCACCCCCTCGCTGGGCTAGACGGTGTCCCCCTCGGAAGGAATTGGGCAAAGGGGCCTTTGTGCCAGCCCGGCTGCGGTTCTCCGGGCCCTCTCCAGTCCCCCCAGGCCGAGCTGCTGCCGAGGGACCGGGGCCTTCCCGTGCCGAGCGGCCCCGCGCTGATACCAATCGCTCTTGTGTCCCTACAGCCCGCCTGACCGGGAGTCAGATGTGCCGGCCTCACCTTCTCCACAGCCCCGGGATTCCTTGGCTGGACAGCAGCAAGGCGGCACTGTCCGCCCATCACCACAACCCCTGGACCGTCAACCCCTTCACTAAGACCCCCCTGCACCCCTCGGCGGCCGGAGCACCCGGGGCCATCTCGGTGTACCCGGGCAGCAGCACGTCCAGCACCGCCTCTGCCTCTTCGCTCACCCCAGCCTCGCACTCCGGCTCCCACCTCTTCGGCTTCCCCCCGACCCCTCCCAAGGAAGTGTCCCCGGACCCCAACTCCACCAGCGCTGCTTCCCCATCCTCCTCTGCCGGGGCCAGGCAGGAGGACAAAGACAGCATCAAGTACCAAGTCTCGCTGTCGGAGGGGATGAAGATGGAGAGTGCCAGTCCGCTGAGGAGCAGCCTTGCCAGCATGGGGGCCCAACCCTCAACCCACCACCCCATCCCTACATACCCCTCCTATGTGCCAGCCGCACACGACTACAGCAGCAGCCTCTTCCACCCTGGCAGCTTCCTGGGGGGCCCTGCATCCAGCTTCACTCCCAAGCCACGGAGCAAGGCCAGGTCCTGTTCGGGTAAGTGCTGGGGTTTGATGTGGGGTGCTTGTGTCTGGGGACAGAGGGGCAGGTGGCAGCTTGCTCTCCCTTTTCTGGAGTTTTTTAAGCGAAGAGATAGAGCTTGTTCCAGGCTCCCGTGGTGCCAATACATTCACAGCGGCCGCTGAGCCTCAGCATGCTCGGAGGGGATGTGAGGACCGGTGCAGTGAGAGCCGGCAGATCCACTGCGGCAAGGAGGGATTAGTAGGCTAAATGTGTTTCCCCTCAGAGCAAAACTGACCTCGGTCCCCCCCGGGCGGTCAGACCCCCGCGCTGATCACGCGTGGGGACCGTGGGCCAGGGATCTTCCCCCCGTAGTCACTTCCATGGCTCCTCATCAGCGCAAACCCGGCCCAGCGCAGGGCGAAAGCGAAACCGCCCCGGCCGGGCCGCTCCCCATCGCCCGGGGCCTGATTCCCTTCACGTTTTACAGGAGCAAAAGTTCAAATGTAGTTTACATACCAGCGCAAGGACGGAGGTGTCGGTCAGAGCTACCCTTCCTCAGCACAACTTTAACTAGAAAATACCCTTATTTCTTTTCCCCTCTGAACCAGCCTTATTTGTGCTTCCAAACGACTTTCCCATCTCACAACCCTTCCTTGCATTTCTTCAGACCTAAGTCAGCAAATTAGGTGATGGGCAAAGTTTTAATCCCCCTCCGCAATCCCACTAAATGTGCAACTGGACAGATTAATTCAGATAATTGGTGTAATTCTACTCACCTCCCATTTAACATCCTCGGCAAGGGAAGGAGATGCCGAACATTGGGGCTGGATTCAGATAGCCCTTAAAAGAAAAGGGCTACATAAGCTTTGTGTGTATATTCTTGCGTCTCATTGCACACATATGCTTACAAAGACACTACATTTATTTTTAAAGCAGGCAATAATTTAGAAATGTGAACTCTTCTGAATTTTACAACAAAAATACCAGCTCTTGCATGAGCTCCTCAGCTCTGCTTCAAACAGCTCCTCAGAGAGGAAAAATACTATCATCTCCTATTATTTAAATGCAGTTGCTACTATGCATATGTATTTATTTTTATATATACACACACACATAATAGCCACTATGTATGTATATTTATTTTTAGATACATAGTAGCCACTATGTGTATATATTTATATCATAAATAGATATATTTTAGTAGTGCAGAGAGTAAAAAGTGAAGGCAGTTAACAGCCCGAGCCTGGAAACAGTCAAGAGCCAGGACTCTGAAGATAAAGGGAGTTGAGTAGCTCTAGATTTTGTCCTGCAGCTGCCGATGACTGTGCTGGACGGAGGAAGTGAGCACCTATTTTCCTTATTTGTTTAATGGGTTTTGGGTAGTGGGATTTTCTTTGGCCGTGAGGGAGCCCCCGTGCAAGGAGCTGGGGAAAGTTCGTGACCACTCCGTGTTTTTGTAGGAGAACTAAGCCTCACGACACGCCGACTCCTGCAGCTTCCTGCCTAGGAGGGACAAAAGCTCCGAGCGCAGCGCCGCAGAGCTCCCCTCATTTTTCACTCTGGACTGTGTTGTTTAAAAGCCACCCACTCCCTAGATTAAAGAAGACACAAGCCCCGCTGAACTCGGCATGGCCTGCTCCACTTATTAGCAAGAAGAATTTCCTCTCCAGTTAAATACTGTAGGATTTGCATAAACTATATTAAGAGAGATTTCTATATTAAGCAGACCTGCCCTCGAACCGTCAGAGGCAAATGAACTTTCAGCAGAGAGCTTTCTGAGGCAGGAACATACATATCTAGGAGGTACATATCTAGGGTTTAATACAGCCCTGCTGCAATGCCGTGCTCCCCACTAAAACTAATAATGAAGCAGTATAAGGTAAACTGCTCCCTTCCAAACCCAAACGGTGGTGTTGAAAAATTGCTGAAGCAGAGAACTCCAAGCCTGTTTTTTACAGTGATTTCCAGAGTGCTTGCTAAAGCTGGGCTTTCTCAAAGCTCGGCATTAACAACGTTTTTCTGCCTTTAGAGCAAAAATCACAACGGAGCCTTTGGCATTCTGTGTCCCTTCCCAGTCTGCTCGGCTTCACTTTCTCCTCCCGTAGCATTAGCAACAAAAAGGAAAGCACAGGGCGGGAGGTCTTTTTTTGCTTGGATTTAATTCTACAAAACCTCTCCCCCTGCTTCTCTCTTTCACATGCTGCATGTCTGCAGGTGTGTGTGTTTGTGTGTGTGTGTTAGTGCTTGGAGAATGCAGGATCTAACATCGGAGCGCAGCGGTAGGGCAGGGCAGCGGTGCCCAACACTGGGATGGTAACTTCCACCTGACACAACTCAGTGTCATTCCTCACCTGGCAGAGAGCGTTGCCCACTTCTGATCGTGACATAAAATCCATGCTGGAGTCTGGGTGTTCTCGGAGCTGAGCTCCTTGCTGCATATGCTGTAGATGTCACTGCTGTCTGATTGTGCTTGAACTAACACGCTGTTTGACTCCTGGGAAATGCCTACAGGACAATGCAGAAAGCTTTTGTGAATTTGTTTTTAAAGAAAGAAATCCGGTTTCTTCGTGTTTCCATTTAGAAGGCAGAGAGTGTGTGAACTGTGGAGCAACTGCTACCCCTCTCTGGAGAAGAGACGGCACCGGGCATTACCTGTGTAACGCCTGCGGGCTCTACCACAAAATGAACGGTCAAAACCGACCTCTCATTAAACCCAAGCGAAGGCTGGTAGGTGGCTCTGTTTCTCCTGGGTTTGGGGATCAATTAGGCAAGGGGACCACACACACAGGCACAATTCAAACTCAAACATGTCTCAGCTCTGCTCAGCCCCTGCCCGCAGCCGAGCCCTGTGGTACAGGGGGTCCAGTACATGGGGTCCGGCACGCCGGGGTCACAATGAGCCTGGGGCCAGCGCTGCCCCGGCAGCCCCCCACAGCCTCCCCGCTGCTCCCAATCCACAGGGGGTATCGTGTATCCGGCTCCCCGGTCATCCTGGGATGACAGCTTTTAATTTAATTCCTCATTTATTTGGCCTCCTGGGAGCTTTGAGCACGCACCGGGAGCGAAAGGGTTATCAGCGCAATGTCCTCCACCGGCTACTAAACAAAAAGGGTTCCAGCTCCAAAAAAGCAAAACAAATCAGATGAGTCAAAGCTACTGCTCCTACTTAATAATTATTTGTATAAAGGCCATGAAGTAATTTTCACTCTTATATTCTCTGGCAATATTAATATTAGTTCCCTCCCCAGACAATCCCCTACTGTTTAAGAAAAAATCCCATTATTTTTCCATGGAGTCACCTACACTTTGTATTTTCATTTGAGCGATTTAAAAAAAAAAAAAGTCCTTTCTAAGCTCCTGGTAGTAGTTTCCTATCCGGATATCTGCACGGTAAAGATAAGGAAACTTTGTGTATCTGTTTCCTGACTCTAAAAGCTTTAGAGAGTTTCTATAGGCGAGCCTTGCCAGTCATGCTTGCTGTTTTGAAATTTCTAATACACTCCACTCCACAAATAATGCTTAAAATGCTAAGAATAATAAATATATTTGTTGGAGCTTTGTGATTTATGGTGCCCAAGTCTCTCAGCTATTCGTGGGCACGTTTCAATGAGGTTTGGAGAGCAGAAAATTGGCATTGCTGCTCTAACACTGGGACGGGATACTGAAGATTTCTGTTGTGAGTCAGAATTTCAGCTATGCAAGCTCCTTAATGACTGGCTTCTAAAGTGACTGACACATAGAAAAATGTTAAGACAACAGTGTAACATTATCGTCTCCCAGGCTCAAGTGCTTTCCAGCCTGAATGGGACAGGCCATAGAGTTAAGCAGCACAGTTGAGTATCAGTGAAGCCATCTCAAATATGCAAACACAGGTTTCCACCTTCCAATATGTTGGAGGCTTACGCTCAGCTCAGTGCCCAGGGTTTGGGGGGCACTCAGGAGGTTTTCTCTCAGCATAGTTTGTTTTAATGTTCTGTTTTGTTGTAATTGATTTACAGCTTTGTTTATTGCCCCTTTTTCCGCTGGAGTTTGCTTGTTTGCGG